TGGGTTTGTCATAAATAGCTCTTATGATTTTGAGGTACGTTCCATCAATACCAAATTTATTGAGTGTTTTTAGCATGAAGGGCTGTTGAATTTTGTCAAAAGCCTTTTCTGCATCTATTGAGATAATCATGTGGTTCTTGTCTTTGGTTCTGTTTATATGCTGGATTATGTTTATTGATTTGCTAATGTTGAACCAGCCTTGCATCCCAGGGATGAAGCCCACTTGATCATGGTGGATAAGCTTTTTGATATGCTGCTGAATCCGGTTTGCCAGTATTTTATTGATGAGTTGTTGGGTGCTGACGAGTTGATGGGTGCAGCACAACAACATGGCACAAGTATACATATGTAACAAACCTGCACGTTATGCACATGTACCCTAGAACTTAAAGTATAATAAAAAAAAAAAAGAAATATATTTCTTACTCATCTAAATAGCCCATGACAGTTTCAGGTCTGTGGAAGGGCCCTGGTCTACATAGCCTTGCAGGAAGCCAGGCAGAAAAATGTTCTACTATTTTCAATACGTGATTTCCAAGGTTTTCCTGGAAATTGTCCTGTAGTGAGCAGGTAAACATATTCTGGAGGATCGTATTAGGCATTTTTATGAACCATCTTGAAATTATGCCACTTCTAACTCTGTAACTAGAGTTCAGTCACATGGCCTTACATATCTCCAAAGGACGCATGCTCCAGGCACATCCCTAAGAACCCCAAAAAAAACAAGAGATAGAAGAACTAGCCTGTTTCTACCACAGGGTCTTTGCATGTTATGTTCAGTACAATACTGGCATTCAGCAAATAGTAGAAAATAAGCAGATTTGTGTTTGCTGTACTTGTGACAATTTATGGTACTGATTCTTCTTCTTTAAACTTATGTGAAGTTTTTTGGTGACCAAGGGAATCCAAGTCTTTATGAGGCAGGTATTATAGGTTTAAAGATTCTATTCCTGAATGCTTAACAAGGTTACACTTGTCTCAAAATCCAAATGAATATTTTTAGAGATCCAGAAAAAAATCTCTTAGTCTGAGCCAGTTTCCTGATTGCAAGTTTACATTATTATATATATTTTTTTATTTTCAGAATCCCCTTATTCTGTCTTCTGTTTTATAGCAGTAATATTTAGTTCAAAGATAATATCCAGACTGTGCTTAAGAGTCTTTTTTTCACAGTCACATGATGTTTGATTTTATAATTCTCAACCTACAGATGAGAAAACAAAGACTTGCGAGATCTAAATAATTAGTAGTGCATTACTGAGCAGGAATTTGAAGTCAAGTTTGTCTCTAAAGTCTATATTTATAACAACAGTTCATTTTTCTTTTATATTCTATTTGCCCCTTAGACTCTATGTATCTGGAGGGCAGAGACCTTACGTCTGTCTCTGTATCAGAGGATATGATACAGTGCTTAGTACATGGGGCAAATGTATTAGCACATGGGGGGTGCTCAATAAACTTTTGTTGAATGAGTGAAAATATCAGAAGTTTTTCTCATGACTCAATATCACCCTAAAAACTCTTAGAAAAGATGTAATCCATCCACAACCTGAGCCACTACTTCACTGCAAGCTTTAACTGTTAGTATGAAATACGAAAGTACCTCTTTGAAAATAAGCTTTGAGAAAACCTTTATTGGTTTTATAAATTTTGAAATTGCAAATCTAATAGGAAAGCGATTAGATGGAGGAAGAGATCCATCCAGCTCAAGAGATGGATTTTACAGGAATTCCAGGATTTGTTTGCAAATTGCTTTCTATAGAAAGTTTACCATATGCCCCAAATAGGATTAAATGTATTGCTTATGATACATTTTATGAAAACAAACCTTGGGTATTCATCTGTTTCTTATTGTAAATGGAAAATTCATGGTACAGGTAGAGCTTTTCATTGCAACAATTATAACAATTGTTATAATTATTATAATCATGATTAAAATTTCTCCTTATCACACCATTGCAATTATAACTTTTTTGTTACCTCTTTTGCCCACTTAAAATATCTAAAGATTAGAGGTAGAAGCAAAGTATTAAATAGAAACTACATGATGTCTTTTAGAGGAAAACAACATATAAATATAAAATTTATTTTTTGTTTAGTTTTATGAATTGACATTGTAGTTTTATGATTTGCAAAAGCCAAGAAATCTTGGGGTATTTCGAATCTCCATTATAGCCTGCATTAATTTTTCCTTTCATTCAACCTACCAGTCATTTATTTTTTCATACATTCATTCCCACAGACTTGTATTGGGTATTTTCAAATTGCTTGTTACTCCCACTTATAGGTATCACTAGCAAGGTAAACCTACATAAAATGTTGTCCATTTTCTTGGAAAATTTGCATTTCAGTGATAGACACAAAAAGGAAACAATTGTGATAGGGCAAGATAAGTACTAAAATAGATGTGTGTACAGATACCGAGTCACTAGGGGAGGGAGCTGGTGATATTGGTGGTTGTTTGAAGCTTCAACTATTAGTATGAAAGACGAAACACAAACACACCGCACACATATATGTATATAGTTCGTCCCTTTGATTCTGAGCTCCTGGATTTTCTGAGTCATGTTTCATCCATTTTTGCATTGAACACAACACAAAAATCATCCTTGCACATATTTTTAACTCAACAGATATTTACAGAATTAAATAAATGTATTATCTTTGTGTAAAAATCCTTTCTTGATTTGTCAACAAGATATGATAGTTGTGACAAATATTGGTTCTAGCTAGTTCTGAACTACATTTCACCATTTGTAAGTGGTGTGACCCAAGCAATAAATATGTGAGTTATTGTGTTGCCAACATTTGGCTCTGAGGATACGGAAATGAATACTATGGGTCTCACTCAACAATCCCCCAGCTTCTCTTGTTTCCTTGTTCACATTTTCAGCTCTGTGCTGGATTAAACTGAGATTTAAATAAGATTTTAGGACTTTCTGTAGGAGGAAAGGTGACTTTTTGTTTGTTGGTTTCCTTTGGGATGGTTGACACATTGTGAGTGCAGCCAGGCTCGCTGTAATTTATCAGAATTCCTTGGATGAGAGTTGATTCCACAGTGAACTCAGAGAGACCCCATTCCCAGAGCTTCTGTCTTGTTTGTTTGCCTGTAGGGAGTGCTGACTGGGAGAAACAAATCTTTGTCTCTTAGGACAAAGGCAGCCACAACCTAGCTTGGGAAGAAACTATCATTTATAATTTGTAAACTCCCCAAAGTGTTGCTGAAAAGCCTCCAAGTGTTTTCTGTATTTGGGTCTGTGATGGTTGCTTTATATACTACTGTGACTACCGACACAGAAGAAAGCCAGTTTTAGGAACACAGTGAAAATGTGAGCCCCTCTCAAGCACAATATGGTTGCATAAAAAAATGAATTTTCTGGCTTTAACTATAGACCTTGCACAGAGAACAGAAATTTGCAACCTAGGTACCAACATGTGATATGACCTGGTTATTTCCAGCGAGTTTCTGGAATCGTCTGTGAAAAGTACAGTTCTCAGGCAAAATGAGCTTCTCCACTACTTTTCGCATTTAAAACTTTAGATTGAGGTATGGCAATCTACATGGTGACTGGAAATTTATTTTCTGGGAATTTATAATAAACACACACACAGTCTGACTGCAATATCTGAAGATCCTATACAAATATTAGGCCCTGGGGACTGAGGGCATTTAGAAGTCTAAGGGATGATGTATGTGAAAAGATTTTATGGGCTGAACAATATGTGCTACAGAGGAAGAAGGTGGTATTTGAGTTGGCGTCGCACAGTATGAGAAACTACAACTTTTCTCTCTTTACTTGGCCAGAATGCCTTGAGATCAGAGTATCCAGTTTCAAACTAAATTAACAGCCTGGTGCACAACACAGGACTTGTCAAGATAATAGAACCAGTGGAAGCTGAATGCCCCTGAACTGATGCCTCTAACAGGGTCCTGTTAAAAGAAATTGCAAAGTACATTGTATTCATTATAGGTTAGATTCCAATGGTTTAATAATTAAATTTATGTTCATATGAGTCCCATATTTCAGATATTTCCAAGAGAAGTCAAAGAAGATTCCCAGGCAGCAGTAGCTACATTCTAAGAAATAACTATTTGGAGAAATTCTGTAAGAATGAACTGAACCTGGTTGAACAATTGACAATTCTCTTTTCCGCAATGGTGTCAACCTCCTTCAGTGCAGAGTCAAGGCTTTGTGCTAGAAAATCTATACATGAACCAGGTATTTGGTGATTCTAAAAAGCCAGAGCCTAGAGAAAAACAAACAAATAAACAACAACAAAAAAAAGCCTAGGAGACTTCCTTTCCTCAAGAATGAATGAAGAATGAGAATCTCTGATGGACTAGCATAATCCATCCATAGTTTTAAAAGAAATAGAACAATAGTTCCCAAACTGTGTTCCCTACAACACTAGTTTTGCAAGATATTAAAGATATGTCCAAAAAAGGTAGTTATTAGCTAAATAAATTTGGGAAACCATGCATATTATCAATATTATCCAAAAGCTTTGCAGGACATATAATTATGACAAGTCTCTGGGGCTGTCATTTAAAAAATCAGTTTAATAATATTTAATCCAGAGCTTCCTGAACTTATTTGTTCATAAACATTTTCAAAGGACACACAACAAAATCTGGAATTGCCAATTTAGAAATGTTTAATCCAAAAAAGTCATATATACCCAATACCAAAACTGTGCCAAACACCCTCAACTTAGTTCTTATTCAGAGACAACACAGCCTTTGAGTTAGGATTTTTTTGTGACCATAAGCTCTCATTCATTGTTCAGTACAAGAGAAAACATCCAAGAATGAAGCTTTCAATTCGTTTGAATTCTGGAAAACATAGGATTTGGTTCTTCCAGATGACTTTCGTTGTAGGTGACTGAACAGTTTTAATTGATATGTTGACATGATGAGCATGTTTTAGGCATTTCCTGAAAGGTTAGTGTCAAAAGAAATTAATAATATCCTGGTGGGCTTGTGTTTTTCTCTGAGGCAGATATTGATGAATGTTCAGAGGGAATCATTGAGTGCCACAACCATTCCCGCTGCGTTAACCTGCCAGGGTGGTACCACTGTGAGTGCAGAAGCGGTTTCCATGACGATGGGACCTATTCACTGTCCGGGGAGTCCTGTATTGGTAAGCAGCTTTCAGGCGTGCCCTCCAGCCACTCGGACCTTTGCAGGAGGTGCAGCTTGCTTTGGTACTCTGTTCAGCTCCCAGTGTTACGACCATTCATTGGTTAAACGCATCAGTTTTCAAGTTGTCTCCCTCTACAATTCAGGGATTAGGCCAGGGATCATGCAATGTGGTGTGCTAGAATTTTTATATAGAAACTGTGACAGAGGAACAAAGCCTGGGACTGTGTGTGATGGCTGTGTTCTAAGGAAAACCTTAGACTTCTTAATTATTTCTAAGGAAAACCGTGATGACTTACTGAAATTTTTGACAGTTTGAGAGGCAACTGTAGAGATGAGGAAATATTAAATAATACTGGATACTGGATTTAGAATAAGAAAGTTTAGTTTGAATCTCATCTCTTATACTGCAAATGTCACTATAGTCTCTCATCCTTCATCTGTGTATATGGTAAAAATGGGGTAACAATATACATATTATTAGGATTAAACAAGAATACCCCCTATTTTAAAACTGCAAGATTTGAATTGGTGCACATATATGATATAGTTGCATTAACATTATTGTTGTTATTGCCACCACCATCATCTCTTGAAAAGTCTCCTTTATTGGTTGGGTCTCTCCTTGTGGTTCTGTTAAACACTGATCACGGGAAATTAGCAGATGGAATTATTCACCTTCAAGACCTTACAACTTTCATGAAAGCCAAACAACTGATCAAAAACATAACTGTTTCCATGAGAACCTTAGCCAATCCAATTCTTTCATGTTGTGTCACCTCTGTTGAATTCTTAATGCTGATTTGGACCAACCTAGGGGGCAAGCATTCTGACCTTGGGTTTCCAAAGTTCAGTTTGCTGAATTAGAAAGTGGGAATTTGATTTTGAAAATTTGTTTTCTCTGCTTAGGGTGTGTGTGTGTGTGTGTGTGTGTGTGTGTGTGTGTGTGTGTGTGTGTATTTTTTTCCTAAAGGCTGCTGGAGTGTTTTTTCAACTTCTCCACTGATGTTGATGTAAAGCAAAGATGAATTACAGAACAATGGCCATGTGGCATGAATTATTCCCCAAAGTCTTGACATTAGTGTTGAGAGGCATGTAGTGTAGTTACTAAAAGCATAGACTTTTGGGCCAGATGTTGGCAGTCAAATTCCAGCTCTGCTGCTTCTGTTTACCATGGACAAATTTTTATCTAGTCTTTACTTCACCTATTTTGTCTGTAAAATAGAAATAATGTTTATATCTCATTGAGTGTTGTAATAATTAATTGAATTAATATCTGTTAAATGTTCAAGAAATGTTAGCTGTTATTTTAAATGTCACAGCATATTCAGCATTCTACCCCATACTCTGTTCATATTTCTTTTCCTTTACATATTTCCAGGTACTTCTGTACATATGCAGCTCATTGTAAATCAATGTTATATGAATAGGAACAGCTCAAATGGCTATTGTTGAGGAATGAAGATAGAATATTAACATATGACATTAAGCACGGTGACTAAAATAAAATTTTTATTTTTACAGATCATATTTGACATCATTAAAAGAAGAGACTCTTAGATTTTTTTAGTGCACAAAGGACCTTAGAGACCAGCTAGTTAAAACAATTTTATTTATGTATTCATTTATTCTAGTTTTAAGTTCAAGGGATTCATGTGCAGGTTTTTTCCATGGGTAAACCACACATTGCTGAGGCTTGGTGTACAGATAATCCTATCACCAAGGTAGTGAGCATAGTACACAATAGGTAGCCTTCCAAACCATACCCTTCCCCTTTCTTCCCTCCTTAGGCAGTCCTCAGGTGTCTTATCTTTGTGTCTATGTGTATTCAGTGTAGTTAACCAATTTTATAACTGTTTGGACCTGCCATGGGACGGCACACTTCTCTGCCTTTATGTACACTGTTCCTCTGGCTGGGATGAAACATGATGATTCACATATGAATTTCATTTTCCTAAATTTAACTCATGTTTCACCAAGTCCCCATGAAGTATTCTTTGATGCCTTCCAAAGACTTGTCACTCCTCTCTTCTGCTAATTCTAGACCTTTTTCCTGAGTGAATGTTTCAGTAGCTTCACTTATATATTTGCTCTCTAACTAGACTATGAGCTGCAAATGGGCTTTTTTCTTCTGTTTCTTCAGTGAGACCCTTTGCTGATGGTTGTTTGTTTAATAAATGTGAAAATGCAATCATATCATACGATCAATAAAGAAACTCAGTCTCAGAAGGGTGACACCTCGTTCCCCGCCACATAACTGGTTTGGTTACAAGTTGAGGATCAGACCTAGGTCAAGGGAGAATCTAGGAACAGTTTATGCCTCTTGTTTCAATCTTACCCGTACAGCCCTATCACCCTCATAAATGTCCCTGGCACTTGCCCTGGTTCTCATTTCTCTCTAACAAACATGCTGCGTGGCTTGCCTGAAGGAGGAGGTGAAATTCCTGCACTCTCAAGGAGCCTCTTTCTTCATCTACAAACTGATCCCTGTTTTGCAAAGGAAAACCTCAGTGAACTGGACTCCTTGGAGTTGGAGTTGTTTGGATTAGTGGCATTTTTAATTTGAGTAATAGTCTGAATTTCTTTCATTTCCACGTTTTTGGGAAAATATTTGTAAATGATCCTTCATAAGGACAGAAATCTGACCCTCACTTAGTATTTCTGCGGTAGTTGGGAATACTCTGTTGGTTCAGAATATTTCTTGGACAAAAAAAAATGTAAGTCAGATAGTGATACTTTCTTATTATGGCCTTCTAATGCCTTCCCAATGAATGTAAAATAAATTTCTAACTTTATATGACCTTCATGGTTTTAGACGATATTGTTCCTGCCTGCTTCTTGGACTCATTTGCTGTATATATATAAGTCTTTTTGATCTTTTCATGCCTTGAACATGACAAAAAGCTCATTCCAGTTTCAGGGCCTTTGCCTTTACTGCTCTCTCTGTCTGGAGCTCTCAACACCTCTCTTGTTGTATGTGCTGTGTTATTTAGGTCTCAGACAAATGTTACTTCTTCATGGAGACCCTCCGTGACTTTTCTCTGAAATAATCCTTCCCTACACTTTGTTATAATACTCTCTTTTATATCTTTTTTAGCATTTTTATTCACATGCACATGTGTGTAATATTCTCTTGCCACAAGTGTACAAGTTGTTTGAGGGCAGAGACCTTGTTTGCCTTTTACTACTCTACTCGCAGCCCCTAAGATAATACAGTCAAAGAGAAGGCATTCAGTGCACATGTGTCAAATGATTGAAGGCATGGACATTCAAAACTGTATCAAGTCAGATTTATTTTCTATTTTGTTTAACTAGTTGTGTTGTGTAGATTGTGGTGCATGACATAAGATGTTAAATATCACAAAACCATATGAGTCTTTTATTAAAAAAAAAAAAAGTTTATTGAGAAAAGCCATCATACCAGCATTGCTTTGGGTCTTCCGGGAATATGGTTATGAACAAGTTAAGATGTCTGTTCTTGAGGGATTAATAACCTGACACATTCTGGATCATAATAACGTAGCTTAATGGCACTGAAAATGAGCACATCTGAATAAACCCTAAATAATATCAACCACTAATGCTTACATTTAAAAGAAATATCAGCATCTAAAATAACTCTTACAATTTTTTTAAAAGTGGTTTGCAACGTGTACTCAGCTATGTTTTTTTCTTCAGACAATGGCATATGTTATCATCTAAAATGTATCAGTTGAGGCTTTTAGAAGAATAGTCTCATGTCACTCTATGTCACTTTTTGTCAGATGAGGATAATAGCACCTTCACTACTGATTTTATCCATTACTGTAAGCCTTGAATAATATTGATATCATAAAGAACGGCATGCTTGCAAGATTTATTTTATGAGAAAAAAATGTTTAAGATATGCCTTTTTCTCTTAAAATGGAACATATGATTGAAGAAATGACCAGTCCTAGTATTGCAGAGGTAGACAGAATCACTATTCTTGAAGAGCTTGTCAGAGTTAGTCTCTTCTGTCTCTCTCTGTCTTTGTCTGTCTCTTTTTAGCTTGTGTATCTTTATAATGCCAGGAGAAAATAGTACACAAAAATTTGTAAATTAATATTTGTGGAAGAAGATGATGACAGTGATTTGTTGGTACTGTAGGGTACAATGCACTCTGTGCTTTGATGTACTGGTAGGAGTCAGTGATTCTCAGTTTTAATATAGAAGTTGTGAGCAATTGCTCTTTTATCTAGGCGATTTAGAAATGAGAAGAAGTAATATATAATTAACAATGGCATGCATAAACAGCAGTACTTTGCATATTTTAAAAATAAGATTCAGACTCCTCAGAATGTCAGTTTCCAAAATATTGCTCCCACAAATGAAACTTTATTTTCCTCTGTTCGCTAATATACTTTGCATAAATACTCGAGCCTACTCAAATTCTTATTCTGCTCTTCCCAAATCCTGCATTCTCTTTCCTCTACTCCTTTGCTTGTATGCTTTTGCCTGACTATCCTCATAGCCCATTTCCATTAGTTAAAATCCTGATGAAGTCTTACTCTGTAAAGCAGGGATTCTCAAAACTGTGTCATAGATTCATTGGAGTAGTGAAATGGGAGAGTTCCCTGTCCCCCTTTGCAGGACTTGTGACAAAAATGTGGCTTGTCTGATCACCTGCCATATGCTCCCGAACCCCTTACAGGAGGGGGGAGTACACAGATGGGTAGGTGCAGGAGCTGGGGCAAGCACTTCTGGGCTCTGGCCCCACAACGGCATCTAGGGGTGGGTGCCTGAAACTCCTGAAGCCCAACTGGGTGTGTGTTACAGTATGTTCAGATAGCTTTGCAGTCCCTAGGCAGCTTAAGTATTAAATGGCTCAGTGGACCCTCTGCCTTTTCACAGAGGGCCATTGCAACAGCTTTCTGTGTCTCAAGCTCTTGTCTAGTGTCCAGGAAAAATCAGATCACAAACAGAGTTGAAGGATGGTGAATGTGGGGTTTTATTGAGTGGTAGAGGTGACTTTCAGTGGGA